CTCCTTTATTCTGTACCCCCAATCTCTCTCTCTCTCCTCTCTCCCCGCCCTCTGCATCTCTGCCAACGATACTCCGCGGCTGCGCCTCTGTCTCTGTGTGTGTGTGAGTGTATCCGCGCGCAACGCGGTGAGGGGGGGGGCAGGGGTGATTCTGTTATTCCCGATAACGCGCGCCTCGAAAAACACTCGAGCTTTCGCAAAGGGAACCTGTATTTCAAGGACGTCGGTATGCAAATGACTTAGCCCCGGCCCTAGATAGAGCTGCTATGCTGCCATGCCCATAGCGTGCTCCCCCGGGCGCAGCGCAGAGGGAGGTTATTTTTAAAACGCGTACAATATATACTTGGCACTATCCGTCCTTGAGTAAACACCCACCCGATCCCCCGCTGCCCATTCATCGCTTTTTGAAAACAGAGGCTCGCTCGATAAAGCGGCTGAAGCCGGGTAATCTTAATGCCGGACCGCGCAGCGACCCGCTGACCCCAGCCCAGCGCGAGCCGCTGTCACAGCCGCTGTGGCCTGCTGGGATGGAACCCATACCCGGCAGGGGCAGCGCCGAGCAGCGCCGAGCAGCGCCGAGCTAGAAGGCAATTTTTTGTTTGTGTTTCGGATTCAAGAAGGGATGTGAAAAAAGAGGCCGAACCTGATAATGGGAATGAGCCTGTTTTTGTTCCCCAAGCCCACTCTCTTCTCAGCAACAAAGCGGATGACTTAGTTATTCAAATGGCTTCTGTATTTTGTTTTGTTGTTGATATTCTTGAACTGAAGAGCCAATCGCATATCAAAGAAATGGTCAGTGGTTAGTCATTGACGACAAAATTTTTCAAAAGGCTGGTCGGGTCCGGGTTCTGCAATACGAAACAACTACTGGGGGGACTTTGGACCGATAGGCTAAATTCAAGTGTCCGCTAGAGAACACCTCCTTTCTCTCCTGGTTCTCCTAAAGGTCAGCAACGAACCCCGGCGCTATCAGCAGCGCGTCACGAATGTGGAAGGGACGCGTCATCGACCTCTGGTCTATGGACCAATGACGCGTTCAAATAGGATACGGCACCTTGTGCTTTCTCGCGCCTTCTGCCAGGGGCGGTAACCTTGGTAACCTTCGACAGGGGCACCATGGGGATGGGGAGGGACTCCTGAGGGGACTGGCCGCTACTCCCTACTTCAAACCTCAGGGCCCTCCCTTCACTCCTCTCCACCTGCGGAGTGCGGACCTTCGTTTTGGGCTTCTTAGAACTACTATCGCATCGCAGTTTCTGCTCGAAACCATTTCGACATAGGTTCCTGCAACAGTAGCCCATCCACAAACCCTCGAGTTGGGCAGAGGGGCCACAGCAAGCATGTTACACGATCGGGTGCAATCCTAGCGAACAGACTCATGAATTTGCAACTTTTTAGCAAATCACTCGACGACAGTACATGCTCCGAACGCCATTGGTCCTTGAAATCTTGAAACCATAGTTTAGTGTTGGCTAACTGCGAATCTAAAGTGTGCAATCCGCTGCACACATTTTGGTTGAGTGGCGGTCCCCTCGAGATAGGCAGCCTGCGGTGCACTGGACGTGACGTGACTGACCCCCCTTCTCTGCCTCAGTCGGGGAAAGTTTTTTGTTGCCGTCATACGTGACAGCTCGCCCCGGTTCCGTCCAGGGAGGCTGCTCGCCCTGCTCGCTTAGATCGCCCCTCCCACCGCGCCCGCTCCGCGCCGCCCCTCCTATCGATTTTATTTTATCAGGCCTGTCTGGGAGGGAGAGAGGAGAGAAGCCTGTTGCGGTCTGGTTCGGGCCGGCCGGCGGGGCGCGGCGGGCGCGGCGGGCGCGGCGGCGGGGTGCAGCGTACTCCCCATGCACCAAGCACTTGCACGAACACAGCTGCCCCACCCGAGGGGCACGCCTTCGCCTTCCTGGCCTTGACTTTGACCATCATGACCATCCCCACGGCGTGGGCCCGTGGGCCCGTGCCCGCAGGCGAGGCCTGGCAAGGCCGCCCCCCGAGGCCGAAGGGACGACGACGCCGACGACTACGGCCCACCCCCTCAGTGCATTTTATATCCATGCTCTGGCTCCAACAGGACATTGCTGACCTGATGGCTTGATAAAATCAAAATTTTCACTCACCCCGTTAGCATGCCGCTAGAAGGCCAGTGGTGTCCACGCTGAATCCGCACCTTTTCAGACCCAGCCATGGTCTTGGCCATGGTCCACTTGTGGCTATTCCGGAACAATATTTTTTTAAAATTTTCAAAGATCCGAGGTGGTAATGTATACGTATTTTTGCGAGGACGTCCCCGTCCCGTACAGATTTCGATATTTTCTCTTGATCTTAGAAACGGGGTCCATACTACAGCATTGCTTCTGATACTGTAACCCAAGTTGGTTCCGCGCCCGGTTCCAAAATTGGCCAGAGTTCCCAAGCCGCGCGATTGGTTGGTGTGTTGCCGCACTTTATCCTCGCCAGGTCGCGCCAGCAGCTCTGTCCTGTCAACACCTGATAAGAACCGACGCACGTGAGGTTATGCACGTTCTTCTAAATTCATTCAAAAACAAATACAATTGCACCATAGTTTTGCTGTCTCATTGCTGCTAATCGATAACTGGGCACCTAGACACCATGTCTTCGCTGGTTGTAAGGGATGCCAAGCGAGAAGACTGCAAAGAAGTTGAAAGGCTGATTCAGGTAGCAGAAGACTACAAATAATAAATTACTTAAAATTCAATTTTATAATATTGCCAGTAGAAACATTACCTCTATCATTGAAAATTTTTAATCAAGTTCCAGATTTTTTTGGTGACTATATAATATTTCTTTTTTTTACATTAATTCTAAAAAATAGGAGTTGGCAGATTTTGAGCGAATGCCTGATGGACCCCAAATTGATGCCAAAGGTTAATTAAATATCTATTTAACTATTAGGTCCTCTTAAGCATGTTGTTGTTTTAAGGCTTTATCAGCTTAAGGATCTTAACATCTTAACATCTTAACATGTTAACATATTAACAAGTGCATTTTGCATTATATTCGATAGTAAGACTATGGTTTTACATTTGAATGTCTTTATATTCGCTAAAATGCCGACCAAACCGTTCGGGATCGCTACAACGACCAATAGAATCATGATTCGTGGTTTCCGTGAAAGTCGTGTTAAGATCCCGCGAAACAACGGATCTCTGCTTTTCATCGAACTGAAGCGATGGCAAAGCTTTCTAAATGTTCCGGTCGGCACTTTTTACCAATTTAAACACATTCTTAACTAAAAATCATTGCCATAGTGCTAAATATAATGAAAATGCATCTGTTAATATGTTAAGATGTTAAGATGTTAAGATGTTAAGATCCTTAAGCTGATAAAGCCTAATATATTTTTTTTTGTTTTACAGTTCTTGAACGAGATGGTTTTGATTTAAGCCCACCCCTCTACCACTGTTATGTTGTTGACGATCCAAATGATCCTTCAAAACTTATCGGATATGCTATCTACTTTATTGTCTTTGGGACTATGGTGGGACGGAGAATGTATTTGGAAGATATTTATGTAACAGAAAAATATCGAAAGAAGTGTATAGGGAATGCTTTGTTTCAGAAGGTTGCTCAGGTAGCTAGTATATAGTTCTCTAAAAGGTATGGGATTTACTTCCTTATTTTCAATAGACATATTCTTTTCCAGAAAGGTGTCCAGTTAAAATGTGCTGACATGCAATTTATTGTGCTAGATTGGAACCCAGCCCAAGATTTTTACAAATCAAGAGGAGCTTGTGATGTCACCAAAGAAGAAGGTTGGCATTTGTTTCGTATTGATGGAGAAAGCTTGAAAAAGATATCTGAAAGCAGCGAGTCCTCTTACGTTGTCCGAGATGCAAAAAGAACTGACTGCAAGGATGTGTTACGTCTCATTCAGGTTTAGAAATATTCTTTATCTTTACATGGCGTAGCTACCTGTTGCTAACAAATACTATATACTGAGATAATTTTCTTTACATGACGTAGCTACCTGTTGCTAACATGTAATGAGATCATATAATTGTTCTTTAGGAGCTTGCTGATTTTGAAAAGACAGGTCTTACGCAAGTGACTGTGCAAGGTAAAGTATTGTGTGATTTTTTAAACTACTCCGGCTACTCATTAGGATAATAATTTTATCTATCTATACTGTTATCAGACATTGAGCAAGATTTCTTTGATTGTGACCACCCTACTTTCCATTGTATTGTGGTTGAAGATCAAAATGACTCTTCAAAACTTATTGGATATTCCATCTATTATAACCACTACGGGACTTGGACAGGGCGAAGGATGTACTTGAGAGATATCTATGTTAACTCTGCTTACAGAGGCAAACATATTGGGGATGCATTGATGCAGAAAGTGGCTCAGGTAAATCATTTTTTATCCAATATCTTAAGAAATACTTCTGATAAACTTTGTTACATTAATACGTTCTTCATCAGAGAGCTGTGGAAACAAAATGTGTGGACATGGATTTTATTGTTGTGGATTGGAACCCTGCAAAAGACTTCTACAAAGCAAAAGGTGCCACTGACATTACATTATCAGAAGCTTGGCATCTATTTTGTGTGAGAGGAGACGATCTGAAGAAGGTGGCTGACAGAAAATAATGGTTTGTTATGTCATTCTGTTTGCACATTCAACTTATTCGGTAATTTTCTTCAGTTTTGTCTATTTTGATAGACATATCTGTTTTTCTAAATCTTATAAAAGTTTATAATAAAAATAGCTTCAAAAAATTAACTGATTAAAAATATTTTTATTTTACATTGAATTACGTGAAATGTATAAACTTAACAATGAATCTTACAACTACATTCAGTGGACATATTATGCAAAATAGTAAACAAAACTGAATGAAATCTTATCAATTACGAAGCAATTTCCTATTTTGATATTGTTGATATGCGTACATGGTATTTGGTAACACAATGAAAGTAATTGCTTACAAATGATTGACTAAACTTTGATTAAAAATTGAAAAGTCATAGGAATGTAATACTTCATTGACACTTACTTTCCTCTATCCAGTCTTAAATGTACTCTTGTAATTGCAATAATTTTTAGTGAATGGTGAGAGTGATTTCAGTCAATTGAAGTAACTCCCAGAGCACTCAAGGTCAAATGCTGGGCTCAACTTGTAATTCGTTTCCATTTCTGACCTGACCTGCAGTGTCCTTGAAACCCCTCACCACAGGTTTTCAATAATTGCTTTATGCTATCTATGTATTCTAAAGTCGTCACACGGCGACTTCCAACTACCCGCTGCCGCCTTGTAGTCAGGCAACCAAATTGACTCAACACGAAAGTTCGGCGGGCGTCCAGTAGGATAGGCAGCCTATCCGACACGCCAGCGACAAGCGCGCATGGGCAAAAAAATACAAACATTTTCTTACAAGTCGAAAGGCTGTGAAACTTTTCCTAAGAAGGACTCAGAGGAAACGAACAGCGGGCGCCGTTCGTTTCTCACGAGGCACATCCACAATGTTACACTAGTCGGAGTGACTCCGGTCTGCGGCTGCCGCCGGCTGCAGCTCGAGCTCAGGATGGCTGCGGGGAGGCGTGCAGCGCGCAGGACCCAGGACGTACTCTCATTGGTGAGATTCCCTGCAGAGCGGCCAGTGCCCAGCCCAGGTCCCTCCGGCGGGCCGAGGGCTGGCCGCTGTTTCGTGGCACACGGTGCCATCATTATAAGTCCGCCATTGGCACCGAGGCCGACGCTGCCGCCGACGCAGCCGCCGAGGAGTCGCCGCCGAGGATGGCGCGGAACCCTGAGCCGACGAGGCCGAACGCCGCCTCCCTGGCATCGTGCACCGTGGTCGAGCACAGCGTCATCAAGTACACTATGAAGTACCAGAACAGGATGTTGGCCGCCCAATCCACCCAGTACATCCTGCAACATCAAAGACGAGCACAACTTTCACCGTCGGGGGACTTGCGAGAAGGAGAATTGGATGCGAAAAAAAATGAGTTGCCAGGGATGAGCTGGTGGAGTTGCCACTTACACTCGCATGTGCCGCCGGGCAGCGGGGATGGTGTCGGGCATCTCGTTGAGGATGTACACTCTGGCCGCCTTGACGCAGTCCGTGAAGTACTCGATGAAGTCGATGCCCTCACCGTCCACCTTGTACTCGCGACGCTCCCGCTCGTTGAGCAGCGGCCGGATGTAGAGCGCCGAGGTGTTCTTGAAGTCCCACTGGTTGTTGGCGTAGTACTCGAACACGTCGAAGCCCTTCTGGATCCGGTTCTGCACACGCTTGAGCCTGCGGACCAGAACGCTGCTTGTAAATCCTGTTTGCCAATGACCGGAGGGACGGCCATCGCTCAGGATACTCGAGCGAGGTGACTTTGACACACTTCTTGTTTTTATTAGTTTTCTGTAATGTACTTACACGGGCTCGTAGCCAGCGCACCAGATGAAAACGTCTAGGATATAGGCCGGAACCCAGTGGAAGAAGAAGACGCAGATGTTGTGGTAGGTCCTGTTCTTCTTGAGGGAGCCGCCCGGGTACCAGGCCACGCCGTTCAACGGCACCACGTTCTCCACGATGGAGCGCCCAAGCTCCACGATCTCGGCCCACGAGATCTTGATCTCGGACGAAGATGTCATGTGGCAGATGCGTCGGGACCGGTCTCTGCGCAGCAAGGGAGAGATTTCATTTACAGAGGTTTGTCAACGAACCCCCATTTGCCTTTCCGCGAGTTGCGCACTATTTATGTACTTGAGCAACACAGCTCCCACAGAACAATTTACTCAGCACTCTTATTATTTTTCTTTGCAGCAGGCGCTGTCGACTTACCCTCGGGCGAGCCAGTTCCAGGTGGCGACCATCATGGCGTTGACGGCGATGTCGACGGGGAGGAAGTCGGCGTAGCTGTCCGAGTCGCAGTACATGGAGCGGATCACGCCCTTGCCGGCACCGATCAGCAGCCCCGTGGGGCCGTTGATGTTGTCGGTCCAGCCGGGCAGCGGCTCCTTCCAGATGGGCACCACTGGAGCAGAGGCAGGCGGCTCGTCACATCGTCCACGGAGTGCCCTCGCACCGGTAAGTCACATGCAGTGCAACGATATCTTTAAACGTTGTTTTACTCACCGATTGACGGCCGCATGATGCCGACGGGCAGGTTGTCGAACTGCTCCACGACGAGGTGCTCGGCCAGGGCCTTGGTGTACGCGTACGTGTTGGGCAGGTTCCCGAGGATTCTGTGGAAGCAGAGAGTATTATACACCCAGACCTTGTACTACATCCGTGCTTACGCGTTTAGGCAGGAGGGTGAGTTGTCTTATATCGCTGGGCATTAAGGGACATAGTGAGCGAGAGTTGGTAAAGTCAGTAGATCGTCCAGAAAGCACGCTTGTTTTTCTCAGATGCATTCGGCAAATTACGGTGGCTGGGCGCCTGCGAAACGCAGGGTAGGCCATCCCGCAGTACTCGCATGCACTGCGTGCAAGATGTTGCCTACCTACCAGGCGCTAGGCGCCTTGCAGAGCTGGAACTTGGCAAGTTCGTCATGGCGAATGACGGACGCACTTAATGGACGATCGCAGACTCGCCCTGATCTCGTCTGCACGCGGTACAGTACAGTAGCTAACGTACAGTAGTGTCCTGGGACACACTGTATCGCAATTCCCCTGCGGGGGAAAGACGCAAAGAAATTCGAAGGCTTGTTCTTGGCGCGTCACACCGTAACATTTTCATTGCGAAACTTTTTAAAAACTTTGTGACGTTGGCCATTGTGATTTTCCATTCTGTGGGGAATGTGCTCTATAGGGCACGGAAGTGCAATTACTCACTTCTTGGTCATCGACTCGGCCACCTCGTCGGACATCCACTCCATGCACTTGATGATGTTGTGCGGGTCGGCGGGTGGCGGGTACGGCTTCTCCTCCAGGACGGGCTCGTTGAGGTGGCAGTAGGCCGTGGACACGTGGCCGAACAGCTGCGACAGAAGTTAAAATTAGGGTGAACAAGGAAGATCTGGTGAACTGGTGCTCGTTGGTTGATTCGCCCCGCCCATTTACGCACATGCATACCGGGTGATTGAGAGAAGACGCTGGTGCGGGCCGGTTTGCCTTCTCGCTATTTCCGTAAGTCGCCATGGCCCCTTAGGTAGGCAAACCCGCTCGCACCTGCGTCTTCTCTGAATCACCCGGTATGTGTGCTAAACGACGAAAATAAGTCACCTGGCCGGGGCCTTTATTCGGGCACTGGGGAACTTTGTAAACCAAACCAACGTATGTTGTGATGTAAAACTGATGTAGGGCCAGGGGGCTTTATGAACCCACCCCCAGTTTTGTAGTGGAACACTGTACTGCTTGAGGCGTGAGGGCAGGCTTTGCCTAACAACGTCTCCTGACGAATAGGCAGCCAGTGCATGCGGTACAGTGTTGTACTAATGTTGAGTGGGGTCAATCAGTCAATGTATATTATTTGTGGAACTGAATCACTCTCTATATCGCGGCAGGAATAAGGCGTTCGACCCTCGATACAAATAATAGAAAATTGTCGTACGCAACGTCAACGCTATACGGCGGCGCACGCCAACAACTGACTTTAGTAATTAGGGACAAAGAAATAAAAAACAAAAAGAGTCTGTCTCTGAGTGAGAGCTGCGACCCGTGCGTGAGCGGCAGTTGGACCCGTGGGAGCGCAGCAGCCTCTTGTTGTCAGGCACCACGTAACGAACGACCTCAACGAGGAAAATACATTTTGAGTACACACTCAATGTGTGTAATACATTTTTGTCCATAAAAAGATACTATTTTTAAGCAAATCTTGACCCGGTGTAGTTTAGAAACTTGCAAGGGCCATTAAAATGATGCAAAATTATCATTTACAGATGCAGATTTGTATTTCCTTTAGACGTTCTAAAAATTGCATCCAGTAAAAGACAATATCATCCCTTCATTTCATAGCTTGCTAGATTTTTGGGTTGCGATACCCCCTATGTAAAACCGCTTACCGCCTCGGCGGCTGCGTACAAACGCTCACCTCCTCCCCGCCTGCGGACAACCGCTTACCTAGCTTGGCGCTCCGGATAACCGCTTAAGTCGCTTTTTCACCGAAAACGTAATATT